CGCCTTTCATCGCTTTTATTGATTCATGCGTTTGGTTCTTCCCCAGTCAAAAACAAGGCACATTAAATACATCCTCTTATTGCTCTATAAATGCATGCGGCTCATTCTGGATATCAAAAGTAATAAATAACGGCAATAAAACACCAGGACAGTTACAAAAACGACAACCCAGCCTCAAACACAGCGCCGCACAGCTCAGCACAGAGCATCCCCCCAGCACAGCACAGTAGTGCCAGGGTAAGACGTGTGTACACACACACACACACACACACACACACACACACACGCTCCCCAGCCAGGCATGCAGCTCTCCAGGCACCCACCACCCAGCACAGCTTCCCCACCCGGGATCAGAACAAAGCAGGGCAGCAACATCAGTGCAATCACATGGAGCAAAGCAGAAGAGCAAAGAAAAAAACCCAAGCAGATCAAAACCAACAACCGACACCCCCTCTTCTCCCCCCCCATGACATTCCTGAAAGCAGAGGCAAGGTGCTGCACTAAGCAGCTGTGCCTTCCCTGCGTGCAGGCACAGTGCTGTAACCAGCACTCAGCCTTGTCTGCACTCAGGGCAGCTGTACAGGATCCTGCTGTGCTACACAGGAGCAGAGATCCATGACAGTAAAGCACCCACGATGCAAAGCAGACTCCTACAGAGGACATGTGCGTAGCCAAGTAAACCCCAAAGTCACATTCTGCGTGTGGCATTACCAAACCAGCAAAGGACATAAACCTGGGTGCAAAGCAGAACATCCTGGCTTTACAGGGAAACTTGCAGCGTTCGTTCTTAACAGTTCCATTTACAGAAGAGTGGAGGAGAATTTTTCTTCAAACCATACAAATGTTATTTAATATTTTAAACCTTTTTCTTTACGTGGTCTGGAAAAGGTCTCACTACTTTCACAGATGCATCTGTTTAAATAATACAGTGAACCATGGGCTCCCACCCTGCCCCCCCCGCACCTCCCTCCTGCTGCTGAGCCCAAAGACACCCAGTTCCACTCCACGCCGTGCTGTGTGTGATGTAAACTCTATTGCCATGTTCTTATTTGAGAAGGGTTTTAGAAAAGCGAAGCTGCATGGAGTATGTGCACACTTTACTTGAATCTTCTGGAACACACTCAAAAAAGTTAACAGTAGCACAGAAGCCATTCATAAAACACCTCGTCAAACACTCACTCACCGATCCCTCTGGGCTGCGCCCAGTGCTACAAATCTCACAGCAGAACGGCCAGAACCCACAGCAGCACAGTTCTGGTACAAAGCAGCTCTACGACATCAACTCAACATGCAGAAACCATTTGGAAAGCATCTGAGCCAGTATTTCTGGAGAGAAACCTGGAGACGTTTCACCACTCGTTCAGACTGACAGGAACTCAGGTGACGCTCAGCCCATCTCTGGTTTGTGTTCGTTTTAAAGATCTGCTTCTCAAAGCTTTGTGTTTTATTTATTCCTAAAAGCACTCTCCCTGTCCAGCCCCGAACACCCGACTCGCTCAGCCACCAACACTCCTCAGTCCCTCCATTTCACACATGCAGTCATTTTCCCTTAAGATACAGAAGTAATCTTTGCTGGCTGTTACCACGCCGTTTCCATTAGTGAAAGTGATGACATCAGTTAAAGATCAGATTTTACACAAGGAGGAATCCTGAGCCCTTGGAATGGAGGGTCCTGTTTTGTCAGCTGGTATTTATACTCAAGAAATCTATGAAATCTAATCTGAGTTTTTAAATAAATTAAGACTTATGTTATCAAAACCATCATATTTTACATATTTGTCCCAAACTGGAAACAGTACAGAGCACTTTACAGCATAAAACACCCCCTGCAATAGAATGCTGCCGACTGAAGGAAGCTACTTGTTATTAATGTGGAGAAAGGGAAGCTGTCCCCTAGCTGCTCACTGGGTTATTATTGGAGTGTTGGTTATGTGTTGTTTTCCAGCTTTGTACTGCTGATACTTGTGTCTGGCCAAGTACTGTACTGCTGAAATAACTACACACCCCAAGAGAGCAAAGCCCAGCACCTGTGGAAGGGCAGTCACTAACCAGCCTGCTCCTTACTGTACCTGGTACCCTCAGCAGGTGAGTTTCTGCTCCTTTTGTGAAGCTATCTCAAATCCCAGGCACCAGCCTTCCCTCTGCTGCCCTTTGTTGAAGCAGACAGATCAGCAGCTTTTAAATACTAAATGCCTATTTGCAAATCTCAATGCAACGCTCCCTTTAAAGGCAGGAATCACTTTTTTTTTTTTAAAGGTAAAGGTGATCTAGAAGTTAATGAGCAAGGCAGTACATGCCATGTGCTTGTGCGTGCACCAGTGTTTCCAGACCACATTCCAGAACCCCCGTTGATAAACTCATATGTCTGAAGCGTACCCCATCCAAAAGGCCACATACTGGAGTATTAAGAGCTGTACAGAAAACCATTAGTACAGAAAACAAACGCACCCACGTGTTTTTACAGATATCAGTCACCTTGAACGAGCAAGGACATTCGGGAGCACTGGAATGTTTGTCAGCACACGCAGCTGTGCTGAGCTACAGCCCTCCGCCGCTGCGGTCCACCGGGATCACCACGCGCTGCCGCAGGTTCTCCTCAGCTGTCTTCATGAGCACGGCCAGCCTGCTGCCGGAGACGTAGCCCTTCTGAATGGCACTCATCAGCTGGAAGAAAAGAGAGAGCAACTCAGCTTCCCTTCCACACAGAACAAAGGTGGGTGGCACAGCCCCAGCTGCGCTCCCAGCTCCTTGGCAGAGCGGCGGGGACGCCAGCCCAGCCCCACAGCACGGGCTCAGCTCCACACAGCTGGTCAGTTTGTCCAAGGGCACGTGGTACATGGCAGTGACAAAACCATTTGTCTACCGAAGAAGAGAAGGCTCTGCGGAGACCTCATTGTGGCCTTCCAGTACTTGAAGGGAGCCTATAAACAGGACGGGGAACGGCTGTTTGTGAGGGTGGACCGTGATAGGATAAGGGGAATGGTTTTAAGCTGAGACAGGGCAGGTTTAGGTTGGATATGAGGAGGAAGTTTTTCACACACAGGGTGGTGATGCACTGGAACAGGTTGCCCAAGGAGGCTGTGGATGCCCCATCCCTGCAGGCATTCAAGGCCAGGCTGGATGTGGCTCTGGGCAGCCTGGGCTGCTGGTTGGTGACCTGCACACAGCAGGGGGTTGGAACTCAGTGATCACTGTGGTTATTTTCAACCCAGGCCATCCTGTGATTCTATGATACCAATAAAGCAACACTGCTGCATGCTTTGAAAAAAATCTCACATCAAAGCCCATTTTCATTTTCCAGAAATACCAACAAATGTGACCTGTCTGGAAGCAGCAATGCAGCATCCATTAACAGCGGTGCCATTTAACCACGTGGGATAACCCAGCTATTCCACAGGCTTTCCCCCACCCACACTTTTTTTCTATTCCCCTCTCAGTCTGGAAGTAACAAACAGAAGAACATCACTGCTGATCCAGCACTGACCCCGGGTTGCACCCCTCATATTCACAAACCCTTCTTTGCAGTGACAGGATACTTGACTTCCACAACTCTGTCAAATCCAAATTATTTTATAGACTTTAAAACTAATTTGCCTTTAAGTCCTTGAAACTGGACACAGCACAACCTTAACGAACACACGCTAGTGCTAGGGCTTTAGTTAATTCTTCTTTATCCCATGGATAAAGTGAGCATTAGACTTGAAATTGCACATAGTCAGCTTGCCAAAGACCACTATGCGAAGCAACCAGCACTTACAAAAAGCAGTTTCTGAGTCACAGTGAATGCCAGGAATCCTTCAGATTTCTTCCCTTCTGTAGGAAAGTCTATTACTTCTGCAGCCAGACCTCTATAGGTTCGTACTGCATCTGAGAAACAGGAGTGACTCCCCAGGGAGGGAAAGGGACAGATCCAGCCAAGGTTGAAGAACCTCCAAGGCTGTTGGGGACATTCTGGCCACCCTGTGAGCCCCGAGCAAAGGCAGATGCTGCAGTCAAGAAGCAGAGCCCCAGAGCTTCCCTCCAGCTGCTCCCCTTCCCCTGGTGACCCACACCAACACAAAGGCTCCAAGTGGGGCAGCCCTTCCATCGCATCCATTCATTCTGCCTTACCACGCACTCCACAACCAACTTGCTGTGGTTTTTCCCACTACGCTGCATGCTCTGTGGGAAAGGCACTCCTGGAGGAGCAGGCTGACCCTTCGGCACCACCACAGGAACAGAACTTTCATATGCAAGCCTTCCGAGAAGCAATCGCTGCCATCAGACAGCTGCCTGTGCCAGAAGGATCCCTGAGGAAACGTGGGCAGTAACGCTACAAAGCAGGTGTGAATAAAAGCAAAACTGGCTCGAGTTCTCAATCAGAACCACCTGTTTGCACAAACTGAAGACCAGTTCAGCCTGCGCTCCATCTGTGAAACACCTGCAGCACCTGAGCAGTTCTCCCAAGGCGACCCAGGCAGGCTGGCAGGCTGCAGTGGGTCAAATGCAGCCACTTGGCATTGCTCTGCTCCCACCTGGATAGGGAAGCAGCCACTCTGATACAATGTGTTCCTATATTCTAATATAAACGTCCACAAATATTTGCACACAGCTTTCCACAAGCGTTCTGGCAGTACAATGTAATTACTTGAAAGTTTTCAGAGAGCAAACACGAAAGTATTGAGAACTGGCTTAACAGATCCATTAAAAAACTAAACAAACACCACGTGTATTTTGTTCTTTCCATGGCAACCCGCTGTTCCTCTTATTACCACGCTTCCCACTGTGCTCTGTGCAGCACAGCAGCTCCCTGTGTGCAGCCCTGGCTCCGCGTGAAGGAAGTGCAAAGTGCAATGCAACCTCGCTGCAGTGCTGGGGGAGCAGTGGGAAACACTCAGGACGAGCCTGCAACCACAGAGCCACTCAATTTAAAGTAAAGTGACTTTGAAATGACACCAAAACAGTGACCTGTCACTTGTATTTTAGAGTTGGGGCAGGAAACTCCTCATGAGACTGTTCACCAGAGCAAAGCAAAGCAAAGCAATCCACAGCAGGCTGTGTTAGTTGCTTTGACTTCTTAACCACAACGTCTCCAAGTGAACCCAATTTTCAATCTACCCATGCCATTACAGGCAGTGTTTTGGTTTCCCCCCTCCCCCCCCCCAGTCTGAAGTTTTCACATGCAAAAGGACACAAGAGGGAGACCCTTCCCAACAGTCAGAAAGCCACCTGTGATATTCACTTATTTCAGTCAGATGGCTCTGGGGAGCTTTTATTTCATTTTACAACTAATGCACATTTCAGTTAGCCAGCTAAATCGCTGCATCTTAGGTAAATAAATAGTCCTTTTTTCTAATGCTGGACACAACCTGTGAAAATTTTCTGCATTTAGATTCAACAATGCTCCTCTTATCTACAGCTCATCTCAAGAGAGACAATTACCATTTCCTCTGCCTTGATCTTGTTTGTTTAACTTGACACAGTGAAGAAAGGGCTGACATTGACCAAAATCCCCAGCATTAATTTATCTCATGTTCAGCATTCATCATTGCCACCACGTAGCAAAGACATGGCACTCACTTGAAATACCACACCAAGAAAGACTCCACAAAAACAAAGCTGATTAGCAAACTGCTTATGCAAGAGGAGGACAAACATTCAGTAGCACCTTTAATTTTCTTATTTTAAAGCCCTGCAAAAAGCAGACATACAGGTTGCCAATGCAATGTCCATACAAATGGGGGTATCGTTTCTCAACCCAGCAGTTACAGTGGGATAACATGGACTACATGTCTTCTGACCATAAGCTCCTCCTTTGCCATTTTCCAGGCTATTTTGAACACCGCAGTCATTTCTAACAGGTCAGGTATGTGTCAGCATGCACAACTACAATATATCTTCCAAACAAACAACCATCTTACTTGGAAGGTAATTAAACATAATTTCTGCATAAAAAAAGCCAAGTTCAGATCTGCACTGTGGCAGACTTTGAAAATCTGACCTGCTCTTTGGGTTAATTGCTTCTGCCCAGAAAATATCCTTGAATTTGGAAGGTGCTTAACACTAGCTGTGTGCATCATTCTGTGCTGCGCTCTGGCAAACTGCATCACCAGGTCTGTGGTACCCAACAGCACCCACCTCCCCCCCAGCACAGCTCTTCTGCTCGGGAGGAGGAGGGGGACTGAGCACCTGTGCCTACAGCCACAGCACTTACAGTTTCTTTGCAAGAGAGAAATTCTTACCTGCAAAAACTCAATGAGCTCCACCTGCCCGTTCTTGTTCAGATCTACTTCATTCAGAATATCGTGGAGTGTTTTTTCATCAATCTGCACACTGATGCTCTAGACAGAAAAAAAAAAAGACAAACCCAAAAAACCCAACTTTTAGCAGCGTCAGGTAAGTGTCAATGTACATAACTACCACAAACCTTCCAAAAACCAACCATCTTATTTTGAATATAATTAAACAGAATTTGTGTATTAAAAAGCCAAATTCAGATCTGCACCATGGTACACTTTGCAATCTGGACCTGTTTGATGGACAAAGTACACCAGCTGCATTGCTCAGCACTACTTAAGCCACGCTGCAATTAAAAACAAAGCAGAAGGAAACTTTACCTCCAAGACACGCTGCACATCCAGTATAGTAATAAATCCTTTCTTGTCCTTGTCAAACATGTGGAATCGCTTCTTGTACCTGCAAGATAAGGATTATCAGTGGAGAAAAATGACACTCGATGTTGCTAACTCCCAGCAACCCAGGAATCCCTTATTTCACTTACCTTTCAATATCTGAAGGCACTAGAGTGATTTCAGAGCTGTCTGTTAATTGGTCAGATTTCACTTTGTAGCCCATTTCATAATACAGAAATTTTCTTGCAGCTTCAAGTTCTTCCTACAACCAAAAGGAAAAGTCTTCTTGTATCTGAGGAAGAACAAGTTCTTCCTTACACAATTTATTTGCTCCTTCCACTTCACAAGAACTTTCCTAAGGTCCAAAAATTGAGCAAGCAGTAGCTGAAAAGTATTAGAGAGTTCAACTTTGGCACCTTTTAATCTTGAAAAGGGATATCAAGCCTAGTAAAGACTTGTAATTGCTGTGTAAATGCTTTTAGGATTACAGTGCATGCACGAGCACTGAGCAGAGGAAGCAAATGGGGACCTTCCAAATAATTTAGAAAATAAAAGAAGTTAAGGAACTCCATATCATCACTTTTCAAAACTGCCACAGGCTGCCCAGTGAGGCTGTGGATGTTCCCTCCCTGCAAGCACTCAAGGCCAAGCTGCATGGGGCTGTGAGCAGCCTGGGCTGGATGGAGGCGTCCCTGCCTGTAGCAGGGGGTTGGAACGAGATGATCTTAGAGGTCCTTCCAACCCAACCATAGAATCATTCTGATTCTATGAAAAAAGAGTGGTGCAGACTGCAAAATCCTTCTCTTCTGAGACAGACCTGTAAGAAGTGACGCTGAACTAAATACTCACTAGAAGTAGGACTGTAATGCCAAGTCTGCCTCATTTTTAAAGTTAAGGAATGCTTTCACTCTTCCCTCCACCTGGCCAATACCAATTCATTTCACAGCTATTTCGATGAAGACTTCAAAACACCAAATATATCCATTCTCTCAGGAAGCAAGCATCACTGAAATTTTCCATTAATTTCATTTGTTAACATGGAAACGACTTAAGAAAAAACAAAACAATTCCAGATGAAAAAGGCCCTTTGTACCTTTTTTTTCTGCTCGTTCCAGTTAAGTTCTTTCCCCATTATGTCTACGATCCTTGGCAGAGCTTCCTCAGCAGCCTGCACGTTCAGGAAGGCCAAGCGAGTCCGCCGGGAAATGATATCCACAGCAGTGCGGGCATATTCCTTCACACCATAGATGACCTGCAGGAACAAGGCAAGGAAAAAACATAGGTGAGTCCATATTAGATATATTTCATGTTACGTTATGTATTTGTAGTAAAACATTTCTTTCACGTGGGATATTAGAAAAAAGTTCTTCTCCGAAAGAGCGTTCAGCTGCTGGAATGGGCTGCCAGGGAGGCAGTTCAAGAAATATCTGGATGTTGTACAAAGGGAAGTGGTTTAGTGGGAAATACTGGTGGTAGGTGGGCAGTTGGACTGGGTGACCTTGGAGGTCTTTTCGCCTCGGTGATGCAATGGTTCTACAGAAAAACATTAAGCACGATCAGGTGAAGTGGAAAAATGAAAACATCTGAATCTCAAAGGAAAGGGCTTGTGAAGGTGTTTTTCAGAGCGAGATGGCCCTGCTCTAGAATCTGCTTCATTCCCAAGTAGCACACAAGCATGATGCAGTTTTTCCACATACCTCAGCTTCGATATAAGGAAATTCAGACACAAGACGTTTTCCAACAATAGGCCATCTCTTTCCTGTAACTTGGGCTATTTTGGCCACCTCGAAAGCCTTGTCACCATATGTAGAAGCCAGATGTTGAGCCACCTATGGAGTTGAAAACAAGTTCAGTACGCTTTCGAAAGCACATCAAATATATGCATTTTCTATTGTCTCTCATCACTAATAACAAAGATGCTGAATTGGGTTCTGATGGTGTGAGAGGAAACTGCTAGACCTTTGAATGAGTTAGACCTATGCTGATGAGGTTGGTGGCCCAGCACGTGGCAGGGGGTTGGAGATTCATGGTCCTTGAGGACCCTTCTAACCCTGGCCATTCTGTGATTCTGCGATGCTGCTATGTACGTATCCAAATAAATGACCATGGTGCTTCAACTCTTCTGCTTCAGATGTGATCAGAGAGCAGCACAGGTTTGTCGTGCCTAAGGAAAGGAACATTCTAGCACCTCATAACATTTTAAAGCAGAAAACAGTTAAGACATTAGGAAAATATTGCCTTTAGGGAAAGAACAAAACCATCCAACACAGAACACACGAACAGTAACAATGGCTCACCTCGCTTTCAAGTCCATAGTCCTGGACCAGCCTAATGTAGAGCGTGGGGCTCCAGTCCTCAGCCCCTTGGAGCAGCAGCCCAATCGTCCTACTGGAACCCGCAGGCAGATCGTGTGCCTGAATAGCAGCATCAATGGTATCCTGAGCCATGGCACGGTACGTTGTCCATTTCCCACCTATAAGCACACATTTACTTCTTTATTTGGGGAAAGCAAGGGAAACATGACGTTGGCACAGGCCATGTATTTTGTCATATTACTCTTACTAGAGTTGTTCTGACAAGCCAGTCACACTGCTACAGACAGATCACTACCTAGCTGTAGCAATGCAAAGCGTCACCCTGCAAGAAGAAAGATGTTTGCACATAATGCAGTGGGGAAGCCCAACAAAAACAACAGCTGAAATGAACCTCCCCTACCTGCTATGGTGACAAGGCCACTGTCACTAACAGTAACAACGTGGTTCCGGCATATCGACTGCGTGTCTTTGGAGTTGGGGTCGGTGACCAGAGGACGAATGCCACTCCAGGCTGCCAACACGTCTCCTCTTCTCACTGTCCACAAGAAAAAGGTAACCAAAATCAGTCAGGAACTTTGTATCTGTATTCATTTCCCACCGTCTTATGGTCTCTGTAGCATTACCTCCAAGCAGTGTGACAAACAGCACTGCCCTTCTCTGTATCAGTACTGCTGTCTGACCCAAAACAAAGCCCAAGAGAGACAGACCTGTCTGTCACACTGGTTAAGAATTCGACAGAAAAGAGAGATTCTGGAACTGATCCACCATGAGACTCAGCTATCAGAGTCACCGATCAGCTCAGAAAACCCTCAGTCCAGGACAGAAATCCCACCACAAACAGCACCTAGTGCAGCACCAAGTCTTATTCTCCTTGCTTCTGTGGGCAGGGCAGTCACAGAATCACAGAATCACAGAATCACCCGGGTTGGAAGGGACCTCAAGGATCATGTAGTTCCAACCCTAGCAGGGCCACCAAACATACACATTCAGATCAGGTTGCCCAGGACCCCGTCCAGCCTGGCCTTGAACACGTCCAAGGACGGGGCATCCACAACCTCCCTGGGCAGCCCGTTCCAGGCCCTAACCGCTCTCCTTGGGAAGAACTTCCCCCTAACATCCAACCTAAATCTTCCCTCCTTCAACTTTGATCCATTTCCCCTAGTCCTGCTGTTGTCAGCCCTTCTGAAGAGTTTACTCCCCTCCTGGGTGTAGGTTCCCTTCAGGTATTGATAGGCTGCAATGAGGTCACCCCGCAGCCTTCTCTTCTCCAGGCTCCGGTCCTTACATGGCACTTCAGAAACCAAAATAAAGTCTGCTCCTACGACATTTGCTTTTAGGACTTGAAAGCTTTTAGCATAGTGTGGAATTTATCAAGAGGAGAATCTGGAAAAAATAAGTGATCTTTATTCACAGCCTCTGTCAGAAGCACGCCTGCATCTGCTAGGCTATAGCACATCCCCTAGGCCTGTTGCTCCCCCAGGTCCCCAGCATTAGCACAGCAATCCCAGAGGGCCCAGGTGATCTGTCACAGATCATCCAGAAGCCCACGCTGTTCTGAGCCACCTCCTCCAGCCCTACCTTCCTAACCATACCTCTTTCAGAAGCATTTTCCCTCTTTGCAAGAAGCCCAACTCAATGGCCATTTTCATGCCCCCATGCTACTCCTCTGCTCCCTGGCAGTTACTGCATCCCAACGGCCAATCCTGGCCTTCCACTGAATGTGAAAGAATAAAATATGAAGGCAACAAGTAGTAAAAAGAGGTCCTTAACAGTTGCAGGAAAAAGCCCTAGCCTCTGAAAGGGACTTTCTTCAGGAATATATAAAACATGGAACCAATAATCTCATGAAATTCATTTTGTTGCTTGTTAAATTCACAATAGTAAAAATTGACCAATTTACACCGAAGCCCCAAAACAACTTTTGATGCAGCTTTCAAATAACTGATAACTTCAAAATCAGTAACAGGGTGTAAAAATATCCCCCAAGAACACAAAATAGATTTCAGAAATCAATGGTGCTCTGCCAGCATGTTTAACCTGCCAAAATGAAGTGTTAATCACAGAAATAAGATACCATATTACATTTATAAACTAATGAAACTAGAAAAAGCAGCATGCGTGACACTATAATTAAACAGTTGGAACACATCCAAGCCTGTGTAAGTTGATAACCCTGGCACTGTCTCTGGCAGCAAAAAGGCAGGTCTGCAGTGAGTTGATATGGCCAGCACAGTTGTTAATTCAATAACAGGCAATCTATAAACACTGCTAATTGCAATGTGAAAACCAGTGTGCACACCTAGGTAGTTTCCTTCAAAAGAACTGAACACTTCATAATGCACTTCTGTGAAAAACCTTGCAAGATTTCTGCCTTATTCAGTCTGAACACCACCAGCTACCTGCCTGCCCCACCGTGCTGACTGGCATTGGCTTCTGCACCAGAAAAGTAAGGGTACATTTCCTCAAGGCTGTTTGTCCCAAAGCTGTACAAGAGAGCCACCAAACTGTTCATTTCAGGAATCTGGTAATCTAATATTTCCAGCTGCTGGACAGCAGGTTTCCTAAATCCCAGAGATTGCAGTGCTGCTGACAAACAGTGGTTTTCAGATTTCTTTTAGCACTACTACAACAGGAGCACAGATGTTTTCACATAACCATTAAAAAAACAACAATAAAAAGCCCCAACAAAACAGTAAACCTCACTACAAAGTAAGGAAATCTCTCACCTTTAAACTAGCACTAAGGCCAAACAAGCCAGCACGTTCCAACACAGGTGTTCTCAGCTCAGTTACCGAGGTCAACCATCACCAAGTGATTTTGATGAATTCCCCTTTCTGCCCATCATACTTCCCTCTTCAACCAAGAGCTGAACTATCAGGTATTTACCACACCAATAAGTAATTAAGAAAGCATCAAGAAAAATGGAAGACAGAGGAAAAGCCAGAAGAAGTCTTCCTACAATCAAAGCAGAGGATTCTACAATACAGCCGTATGGACATACAACCAGCCCACCCACTTCAGCCAAGCTTTGTATCTGCCACCCAAAAAGGCCAGAATGAGTCATCTGACAGCAGCTGCCTGTTAGATGAGAGGCACATGAAATCTGCTCGTTCAGATATCAACTGATTTCCATTTAAATGGTCCAAGTAGAGAGAGAGTATCTGGAAAAACATCAGCGATAGCCCTGAAACAGATTGAGATGACGCTTACAGCTCACAAGTATTAGAGGGGCAAGAACACAGTTGTCAATCACTGGAGGAACTTGAGACAGACAGCACGCATTCAGACTGAAATACTGCAGCTATCCCTCCCAGCACAACTGACACTCCTACCTTCAACATCAACACTGAGGTAGTTGCGCACTTCACTCAGAATGAAGTTGATATCTTCTTCTGTCGGTATGGGATGGGAGGTGACATCAGTGGGGCTGTCTGTGGTCCCTGCAATAGTCATCTTCTCCCAGGGCAGGAAGAAAATCACTCTGCCGTCGCTGGTGGCTGGGTCGAGCAGACCCATGTTTTCAGGGCTGAAAAAGAAGGGACGTGATTCAGAGCGGATGAGGCATCCCCAGGGTCTGTTCCTGTACACGTTCAACTATTACATCAGCACCTTTGCTCCTGTGCAAAAAGAGATCACCACAACCCAACCTTAAAATGTATTTCTCAAAGCTTCTGTGGCTAAGGCCTTTAAATGTGATTCCCAAAATGTAACTTCCTACATCAGACAGCAGGACACATCCTTAGTGAGAGCAATCTGGTACCTCCCTCCTCCAGTCACTGGGATTTCAAAGATAAGGATTTGAAATTTAAAACAGCATTTACTGGAAACCCCTATTGTGGAAGGAACAACTGGTTTTAGTATTAACAAACAGACAATGACTTAGTGTCACAAAGAACAGCTAAGGCTCAAATACTGCACAGGCAAAAACAAAAACAGAACTCTGGTTTGTTTGTGATGTGTCTAAGAGGAGAGACAATCTCAGACCAAACATTAGTAACCCCATTTATCAGGTAACTGATGTCACTTACTTAGGGAGCAGATAAGACACCCAGTGACTTCTGCAACCTGTATTCACAACTATGGTGGGGCGGGAGGGAGAAGGCAGAGTTAGGAAGAAGTAGAAAAAAGGAGAGAACAGAAACACTGAAATCATAAGCATTATAAGTACATTAAAACAGGAAACTTCCAATGACCCAACAGCCTGAATTCAGTAAGCACCTGCCATGAGAACAGGAACTGAAGCCCAGACTGCCAAGGGATTCAGACCAGAAATACATTCCAAATGCTTCCAGCAGCATTCCTGAACTAGGAACCATCTTTGGAGGGGAAATGGCAGAAGATACACCTCCATAATGACTAATCAGATGCCAGCACCTTCATTCATTTGTGCCAGCGCTGTAGAATGATTCAGGAGAAAGATGGTAGCTCTTTGCACATGAAATTTTAACTAACTTATCAAGGTTTCTGGTAAATAATAGTAAAAAAATAATAGTAAAAATATCCATGTGAACAAAAGAAGAAGTTGTTTTAATCACTCACTAAACAGCACTAGGAGAATATTCAAAGCTGCCCCTTCTTCTATTAACTTCTATTGAAAGGAAAGACACTGACTTTGCTACTAGGTACTGGAAGTCCTTGTACAATCATCTGCAGGCAGTTTAGCAGTCTCCAGGTTTTGCACCTATTGCTGGTACTGGAAGGAGGATACAGGAAGGATCAGCAGAGGGGATAACTCAACAGACCAAGGTAACCACTAACAACAAGCTGAAGGGAGACAAAGACTGGAGGTTGGATAGAATTACCTATTTAAGAAAGCTACAAGCTGAAACACTGAATATTTCATTTTTAGGAAGTCCAAACTGATTGCTGAAGGTAAGTTTGCAATATCTGGAAAGGCTAGGAGCAGCTGAAAATTTCATATATAGCATGTATATTAGAACATTTTTTAGATGATATTTATAGACAGCTTAAGCATACAGTTGGAAAAGTACAATTTAATAGGGGAAGTCAACACAGGTTTGTGAAAGGTAAATCACGTCAGCCAAATGATTACTTTTTAAAATGAAAAAGCTATTGATTTAGAGACAGGAAACGAGAGATTTAATATACAGCATCAGAATATTCAGATAACTTCAGACATTCTCAAAAGAATAATATATATTTTTAACATGATTTAAGTAAAAAACTGTGAAAGAGAAATGAGTAAAGATGAAAGCTAAGCTTCACCTAACACCTACAGACTGAAGTACGTACGATAGGGCGACAGCAAGAGATGAGAAAGAATGAAGAAGCCTTCTGTACGTCAATTCATTTACTGACAGTGACCACCAGCTGTCCTGGGAAGTTCTTCTCAGCCTGCCTTTGCTCTGTTTATTCTGTCTTATAGAAGTAACTGCAGAGCAACCAAAAAGAACCAAAGCATCCGTCGACAAGCACTTGGAACACTGCTCAAAGCGTGTGGTTTTAGCACACAGCTTCTGATGGCAGTGGAACCGGTGTGACCACGCAGCACAGCGCTGTCACCCACTGGCACGTTCCTCTGGCGATCCTTCAAGATCACTAAAACGGGACAGATTAGGGTCTGTAAACTCCAACAGGAGACAGAAATATAGTGGCAAATAGACAGAGCCTAGGAGTCTAATACAGATGGATCAGAAGTGCCTGTTGGCAGAACAAACATCAGCACGCCCACCCCTCTGTGAGCTAATGACACAGCAACAGCTGACTTCACCGAGCACTCGGAGCCTGCCTGCTCCTCAGCGTGCTTCTGCCTCGGGAACAGCAGCACAGCTGTACTGAGCAGTGCACAGAGCATACCACGAATGAGGAAAGAAACCTGGGTGCTGATTACTGAAGTACAAATAAGATGGGAGAATACGAGCTACAGACTACCAAATTAAACACAACTTCATCTCAAAGACAGATCTGAACTCTCGAGCTTGAAGTCAGTAAGTTATTCATTCTGGGCGTTACATCAGGAACATGGAAGATTCCTCGTGGAAACATCATACGTGCAATTAAATAGAAAACAGGTGACTTCCAAGAAAGCAGAGCTAAGGTTTAATAGAGGGGATATAAGGAAAATGTTCATGCTAAGGGCGGTGAGGCACTGCACAGGGTGCCCAGAGAGGTGGCAGTGCCCATTCCTGCAGACACACACGGTGAGGACTGGGCTCTGAGTGCTGATGGAGCTGTGGCTGTCCCTGTGCATTGCTGGGAGTGGGACCAGATGGCCTTTAAGGGTCCCTTCCAGCTCAAACCATTCTCTAATTTGAATTTAACTGGAACCTGAAACACAGAAAGGATAGGAAAATCTAAGAGGACTGTAAATACCTGAAATTCATGGAGAGGAAGTTATTATTACTGCACACACAGGCTTCCTGCCTGAGATGTGCTAATCAGAACAAAGGTGGCCAGAATCCTCTCTCTTTTTGCAGATATTATGTTTAAACAATAGAAAGTGAAAGAGTTATTGCAGCTACTAGAGCAGATACGTATACTAAAAATAGAATTAATGAGAGGAGGAATACTGGGACTATTAATGAAGAACACAAACGAGCAAGGATCCCATGGGAAGTGAACGCATTACATTAATGTTAGTTTTACAGAATCTTAGCTGTGTCTAGATATAAAACTCTCTTTTATACAATATTGGCCCAACTCTCACAAATTTTACAGAGGCAAGCAGATGCAATTAATTAAGTCTTATTTGTAAGGAATATCCATCCACTTGGAATCAGGAATAAAGATTCCATACAACTGAGGTTAAATACCATGAGCATCTCTACGCAGTTCCTTGCATCAGGCTTCCCCACTGAACGGAAATCGGTTTTATTTCATCAGCTGCACTGCAGAGGCAGCACGTGGGCAGCCACTATTTTACAAGAAAAGCAATGCCCACACGCTGACACACACAGGGGAACAAGGAGGAGAATTTTTCTCCACATTAGCAGTTACAGTTATTAGGTATTTACAAAACACGTAATTAGAGCCCTCGCGTGTATGAAGCCATCTTCAGCTTGGAATCTTCAAAGCCATTCCAAGCCCAACAGCTGACTTGGTGGCCCTACACCAAAACCATGCAGTTGTGCACCTGCTCAGTACTATATGTGAACAACCTTGGATTGATTACAAAGCTTTTATCCTCTTTGCTGTTGCTTTAAAGCAACTGTCAAGTCACTTCCTGATTGTCATGGGGAGAAAACACACAAAAAATAGAGATTGCAAGAGTGATTTTCCACTAGGCCAGAGATGCCTCAATTTTATAGTCTCTGGTCATGTCCTATTGGGACAGCTCAGGCAACAACAACACTCTGTGCACTGAAGTCTAGATTTACATTCACAGAGGATTGCAACAGTCATATGGAAGGCATTACTGTAAGTGCACTGTATCAACAGAACTGGTATAAGTCTATAAATGTGAATTTCCATTAGGATGCTAATGACTTCAGGAACCAAAGGTAATATTTGAGCTTCAACTGAAACGGCTTACGTGTGTTAGAAGGGGATTTGGTTTGGCAGCAACAAATAAGGAGAGAAGCAGGAATGAGTCTGCAGAGCAAGCTCACAGAGGGCCCCAGGAACCTGTGGTGAGCTCAGCACAGGTAGAACGGTCCCCTTCACCTGAACCAGCAAGGGTGGGTGGGCACCTGCCCATCAGCACCCATCAGTGCCCATCAGCATTTAATGGTATTCTGAACTACATGCTACACTGTGTACATGTTGCATTCCGAACACCAGTGGCGTCCATCCATACTAATAGCAGGGGCAGAGCGTAATGGCAGATGACTGCCTAGATAGTACGCTATTTTGTAAGACAGAAAGCTTTCTAAGAAGGCTGGAAGCTCTCAGGAAGGCTTTCTACATTTCCTGTTCTCTTAACGGGATGAAGAAACAGTCAGCGTGCCCAACTCACCCCTTGTAGGAGAGGCACCTTACAGCAGTCCCTGCCTAAAGGCCCTTCTGCTTCAGCAGTTCTGCCCTGCTAAGGCTCACCTACAAAGCCACAAGGCTTCACTCTTCTCCACCTAGATAAAGCTGGTGTTTCAACACACGTAGTACCGGAGCCTTCTAAATAAGGAATAATAATTACTAAATCATCAAGCATGCATTGAAAGCTACCATAAAAACCACAACCACGTCCCCACAAGCTTATTTATTACAGCCAGCAGCAGAGATTGTTACAAATGGTCTGGGTTTGGAATATCGTTACCTGTAATAACCTGGCATCACGATGTGCACGCCCGCGCTGGGCTGACAGATGTTGGGTACTTCCTGATCATCCATTTTGCGCACCGAGTCTGTGAAAGGTCCTGTAGCATTGATAACACATTTGGCTTTGACATCAAATTCCTGCCCTGTGAAAGAAAACAGCATCAATCACGAGCCCCATTTGTTTCCCTGCTCGCTGACACTCGGCGTTATTAATCTGTGAACCTAACTTACTGTAACGCACATTCTGCTTGTCTGAAGGGAGCGGCTGCGGCTGTTCCCAAAAATTAACCAAGTTTGCATTTAAAGCCAGACTTCAGAGGAAGCACTTTGCAGAAAGTTCTGTGCAACCTGTGAAGGCAGAGCAGGAGGTAGGGGAGGAGCGGGCCGAGCTGCACCTCTCAAAGAAGAGGAATTGGCCGGTGGGCAGTATTACTACCATACGGCACACGGCATTTTGCAGCAGTGCCTCTGCTTGACAGGAGGGCTTGGAGGTGAGGCTCAGCCTACCTTGCCAAAACACCACGATCCGAGTGAGAAGCCTGACACAAGTTTGGCACAAGTTTGGGCCTGTCCTCTTCAATATCTTTATTGATGACCTCGATGAGGGCATCGAGTGCACCCTCAGTAAATTCGCAGATGACACCAAATTGGCTGGAAGTGTGGATCTGCCTGGGGGTAGCGAGGCCCTGCAGAGGGATCTGGACAGGCTGGAGAGCTGGGCTGAAGCCAATAGGATGAGTTTCAACAAGGCCAAATGCCGGGTCCTGCACTTTGGCCACAACAACCCCAGGCGACGCTGCAGGCTTGGGGCGGAGTGGCTGGAGGACTGCGTAGAGGAAATGGACCTGGGGGTATTGATTGATGCTCGGCTGAACATGAGCCGACAGTGTGCCCAGGTGGCCAAGAAGGCCAATGGCATCCTGGCTTGCATCAGAAACAGTGTTGCAAGCAGGAGCAGAGAGGTGATTGTTCCCCTGTATTCAGCACTGGTGAGGCCGCACCTCGAGTGCTGTGTCCAGTTTTGGGCCCCTCACTGCAAGAAAGATATTGACGCCCTGGAACGTGTTCAAAGGAGGGCAACAAAGCTGGTGAGGGGTCTGGAACACAGGGCTGATGAGGAGAGGCTGAAGGAGCTGGGAATGTTCAGCCTGGAGAAGAGGAGCTCAGGGGAGACCTCATTGCTCTCTATAACTTCCTGAAGGGAGGCTGTAGTGAGCTGGGGGTCGGCCTCTTCTCTCGTGTCATCAGTGATAGGAGCAGGGGGAATGGCTTCAAGCTACGGCAGGGGAGATTCAGGCTGGACATGAGGAAGTATTACTTTTCAGAAAGGGTGGTCAGGCAGTGGAATGGATGCCCAGGGAGGTGGTGGAGTCACCGAGCCTGGAGGTGTTCAAGGAAAGACTGGATGTTGTGTTGAGGGACATGGTTTAGTAGGAGCTATTGGGAATAGGTGAACGGTTGGACTGGATGATCTTTTAGGTCTTTTCCAACCTTGGTGATTCTATGATTCTATGATTCTAATGCTGCCCCACTGCACTCTGGGAAGACGCCCCTTTGTCGGCTCAGCGATGGTTACCATTAGCGCTTCCCACTCCCACCTCCATCCCCCAGCACAGCTCCGGGCCAGGCACACACCTGTGATGACGTCCCTGCAGCGTGCCCCGCACACGCGCTGCTTGCCGCTGCCCGGCTCCGTCTTCTTCAGCAGGCGCAGCACTTCAGTGTAATTGGCGGTGGCAGCGCCGTACCTGGCAGCGGTGAGGGCGATGGCGAGGTTCATCCGCGCGTCGTTGTGCTGTCCTGCAGCGGGAAGGGAGCGGGAAGGATGTGAGTCACCTCCAGCCATGGCCGCGCGGTACGGAAGCGTGTCAGAACCGATCTGTCACAGCTGTCCCTGTCACATCCGATAGCTGTGATGGCTGCTCGCGCCCGACATCGGTATTTAGAAGACACGTCCTCTGCACGGCCCCACCGTGCTGCACCCCTCATCGGTGTGGGGCCGAGGGCGATGGGCTCCGCCGCCCCACGGAGCGCTGCTGCTCCAACGTGAGAGCCTACTGCAGCTGCACTGCTCCTCAAAGCGCAGCTCAGCAGTGCCGCGGCAGCCCAACACCGGTCCCTGCTCCGGGTTGTGCAACACTACGTGCAAAACCCAAGAAATCTTTCAGGCTGCCCTAAATTAAAAGTTTCCCGTAACTTTCTTTTGTGTTATTATTTCAATAGGTATTTTAGCTTTCCAACGTACGGCACAAAATCGTCGGAAAAAGAAATAAGCAGACAAGAATTAATGAAGGATTCTTAACACATATCATTAAAGATTTATTACCGAAATTCCCTCGTTAAAGAAAACCAAGAGAGAGGCAGAGGGACCATGAGGGGAAGATGATTAATTACTTTAAAACACGGGCTTCACCTGAGACTTTTCCTATTTATTATCACCACTGAAGTTAAAGTCCAGGATGCTGGCTGGAAAGAATTACTATACATTGAAGGGGCCAGGCTCTGTGTGTCCCGAATAATTAATTTACAGCAGGGCTAAACTTCCTCAGATGTGGTTCACTTCCCCACGTGCCCGGACCAGTTCTATCAAAGATAATACAGGTAAAGTGATGAATTTGTAATAGATATTGTTGTTGATTTATGTTGCCAGCATTCTGAACGTTCAGTACAAATGGTTTATGCAAAGTCTGGTCCTTCAGATTCTGCCTGCGCATCTCGTATCGCCGCACACATAATCTGTTCCCAGCTAAAAGGGCAAAGTTATAAAGATGGGATCAATGGCCTGGAGGTGCCACCTCCTCTCTCCTCACCCTCATTCCAACCCAGCTGAGGCGATACAGTGCCATCAGTCTTCAAGCACAAGGCAAGCTATGTGAAGTGAACAGAAACAGTGATATGATGAAGCACCGATGAAGAAACAAACAGTAACTCTGATTCAGCTACGCAAACAATGCCCAGAATAAACTGCAGAAAAGAACAGCAAAACAACTTAGCAAGATGTCAAGAAAAGTTGCAGATGCTCCAACACAGCAGATGCATGAGACTAAACAGCCATCTGTCAGAAGTGGCAGGCAAATCATTAAACAAATGCATCAACATTTCTGCTACAGCAGTGTCAGGGAAGGGATGAAGTGACCTTACAAAGTCTATCTCAAAACTGGGCGTTTTAACAAAGGGCTGAGTGTTCAACATCTTGTGCACACAGCGAACACTGGGGGAAAAAAAACAGAATAGCAACAAGCTGCATTACAGCAGCTACTTTAATGTATAGCACATCCAGAATGCTCTTCTAGACCAGAGCCAAAGGCACGCAGAAGCAGGGCAGCCTGTAGCAGCTCTTCTTTGCTTTGATGCTTTGTTTGAGGCTCCCCAGCCCATGGGGTGCTACAGGGCACTGTTGTACAGGGCAGTTAACCCAGCACAATAGAACTATGGAGGTGCTCAAGGCAAGGTTGGATGGGGCCCTGCGCAGCCTGGTCCAGTATTAGACATGGAGGTTGGTGGCCCTGCCTGTGGCAGGGGGGTTGGAGCTTCATGATCCTTGAGGTTCCTTCCAACCCAACTGTTCTATGGCTCTAGGATTAATTGCTACCCAAGAGAACTGCCATCACTGCATGCAGGAAAGCCCGAAGCAGCAGCCCTGCACAGCACTCCTTCAAGGTAGCCCTGTTGTACTTCTCATCCATATCCCTCTCATCCCTCTCTGCTGTGAGAAAACCCTTGCTACTGCTTAGCTCTCAGCTGTCCAAGGGAACCTGAGTGCCTATGCAATATACCTGCAGGAAGAGGACTGGGAAATAACCGGTTGCTGATTAACTACACATTGAGAAATAACAACACTGGTTTCAGATTAATGCAATCCACAGAGCGGAGTGCTGGAGTTTTTCACAGTATAAACAGCAGAGATCTGTGCAGGTCTAGATTAGAAAGCAATGAGGAGTGACTTACTGGCTCATAAATTTATCATCTATGAAGAATAATACCTCAACAGTTCGGTAAGATGGGGTCACGGTCCGGTGGCCCTTCCACTCAGGAACAGGTTTATTTGTTGGGAGGTGTGTCTGTGCGGTTTTAACTTTAACTTGTATTTGCACATTTTCCCACAAACAGTGACATTAAAACTCTGTGCAATCATCTTCTGCCTTGACACCCGAAGAAGCCATTGCTGCTCCTCCATGCAGAGCAGCTATTGCCAAGGTACTGCAGAACAGCTCTCACTACTGCCGTGGTGTATGGAATCACCGTTCATGATTGAGAAAGCATTTTTTGTTGATGAAATAAACCTAGTTACTTTCAGTCACGTTAGTTTGAAGTAACAATCACTCCCAATTTCAAACAGGTTGGAATGTGTTGCGGCACTTCAACAATCCTTACCACTCAAGAGGAACAGAAGGAGAGAGAACAAGAATGCTGCCTCTCAGTCTTCTCATTTTTTCAGTGAACTATCATCCTCCTTTTGCCATATTCAGGTCCTTCAAACCCAAGATAAATGCCTCCAAGCTCAACTTTCTCCAAACAGAGATGTAAAGCTTTCTTGACACAAGCACTATTAGCACGCTCAGAAAACGCCCAGGAAACCCAAGGCATAGGTGTGTGTTAAGGACAAGGTGACCAAAGACCTCTGTGGGAGGCTCTGCATCATCCACTCCAGGCAGTTCTGCATCCATTGTCCTCCACATCACTGTCTGGCACTCCAAAGCAAACACAGAGCTTTCCCTTTGCTCCCCCTTGTGCTCTGTCATGGGTTTCTTCTGAATGTTGTTAGTGATAAATCCAAAAGCTGTTTTACAGTACCACGGCAGCCACGTCCAACTAATCTGGCATTCCTTTCCATAACAAGCAAGCAGCCGAAGATCTCCTAACAAAGCTCAGAGCAATACAGTGAGTATCTAACCAGGACATCCACCGAGCACAGACGTGCCCCATCACCCTGCCCCAGCCCTGCTGCTCCAGGCCAGGCGTGAGGAGCTGGTGGTGTACCTGTGGTCGACTCCGTCAGCAGGATGTATCTCCAGGGGCTGCACCTGGCAGCCAAATCCAGCAGCTTTGGAACAAACATCCAGAAGCCACAGACAAACCTGCTGAGCTCTCCCCACAACTTCTCCTCCCAAAGTACAACTCAAAAATGGGTGCTGAAATCCTTTAAATAACTTTTGAGAAAAAACAAAGAGCCGCCCATCTCATTATTGCTGCTGTCATCTGCTCAATGTACAGCAATGATTGCAGTAAGCTCATTTTCATTAAGGGTAGCCAACACGGCTAACAAGACAGTGGCCTAACTGCTTCCAATAAAGTGACACTTAATCCTCTCAGAAAGAGCCAACACTATTCTTAGAAGGCATACTGTCAAAGACATTTGGGGCAAGAAGACATTTTAACAATGTGTTCCACATAATTTTAAGATAAACCAAATGGCATCACTGTTGATAATTTCCTTTTTCTTTTCCGTAATTTAGGAAAATTCTATTTTCATTCCTTGGTAGCAAATGCTGCATTTCTTCAAATAAGAACAGACAATGCTTCCGTTGGCACTAAAAGAATCCTCCTACAGAGTGCACAGTGTACATTCGATTTTATTTTTATCAATGCTGAACCACAGCCAGTAGTGGTAACAAAGCCCACAGACCGTAGATTTGTGACTGATTTGGCGGAGCTGTGAAAGCCACCACGCCAAGGAGGCACACCAGTAGTTCCAGTACCTTCTGCACTCTGTCACCCTGACACCCGCTGCTTTTCTACCCATCCCTGCCCTCTCCTCTGCAACTCTGTGCAGCTGAAAATCAACACCACTCAGCAGCCAGTGACTGCAGAGAGCGGAACTTCTTTTAATGCCGAGAGTGACACATGTTATCCACCTAACTTTCTTATGCTAAGAAGTAGTGCTTTGTTACATGGCTGTCATGCTGCAACTGTATTCACCAACAGTGCCCCCAAACACTGCAGCCGTTGCACCCAGAATTGCTCCACATACACTTTGCAAAACCCTGTGAACATCCATGCTGTCGCAGTACTAAGCCAAACTTCTTGCTTTAAGGAGCAGGCTGGTGGTCCCTGCAACAGACATGAAAGCTTTCTCACCTCGTGTCAATTTACAGTCTTTTCCTATTAGGCTTATCTAATTATTGCTGTTGAGGTCAAGCTAAATGGAGAGCTGGAAATTAGCCATGCAAGAAGCTATATGACAGCCTTAATGCACTTTCTCAAGAGGGCAGACCTTTCTATAGAAGTATATACCAGGCTCCTTTTGGAAGGAAGAAAAAAAATATATATATATATTTGGATGAGAAACTAGGCAACGATTTTGAATTGCCACATAATATAACAAATAGTTAGGGCTTGTTGTTTTCTTTTAAAAAGCTCATGGGATAACAACTAACAGCCTGGGCATTGCTTCCTTACTGGTATCACTGAGCTCCACTTGGTTAACTGGAACACAGCCTGCAACTCACAGGGTAGCCCCTTGGATCTGGAACTTACCCCAAGGCCTGCCCAGATGGGACATTACTAGATTGTCACAATATCGACACCCACTGTCCCCAAAAGCACCATTCTAAGGTCACCTTAAAATTATATGTTATATTCCTACATAAGTATTGCACAATTGCATTGATGCTGTAAAAAAAAACCCAACAGCACAAGGAACCAAACAACACATCTCACGTGCATAAAAGTGTTCCTGTTGTGTATATACAAAGCTCACCAAATTTGAGGCTGATGATCTGTAGTTACATACAGTGATATATAATTAAGTTATCGGAGCTGCCTGCATCCACCAATTTTTAAATAGAAAGTGCTTAATT